ACCAGGGATAAGGCCAGAACTGCAGCCTAAAATGAGTCATCATTTTAGACTTGTGTAAACTTAATGCAACAACACTGCGACTTACTTGGAAGGTGTCGGCAATAACTACAGCTTTCATGCCGCCTTGGGAGGAGTAGAAAACGCAAACTAAATAAATAAGAATCACTGCAACTTTGGTATTCAAGCCTGTGGCTTTGGAGAGCGCGATTGCGGGCGCCAAGACAGCCACTGCGGTATAGAAGCACATCTGTGGAGAGCAAAGCAAAAGGAAAATATATATTGTGCATGCTGCTAAACTATTTGTACATCAAGAAAGAATAATCAAATTTGTTCGCTTTAAAAAACTTTTGAATTTTTGCAGAACTTAGCCTTTACCTGTATGACATACAAAACAGCGCCTAGGATGCGTATTTCCCGACCGAAGCGTATGCCGAGATACTCGTAACAACTCGTCAGCTCCATTTTGAAGTAAATCGGGTAGAATATCTTAACGGCGACCGGTATGACCAAAATCATCGGAATCACTGCAATGATAAGAAAAATGTTAGTAATCGCAATTAGATATTTATTACTCAAATCGCGCACTAAACTCACCAATCAGCACGAATTGTGTACCCTGTAGGTACATCTCCGATGGATTTCCCAACAATTCGATAGCCGTTATGAAGCTTGTCGTCAAGCTGAGTGTTACCGGAAATATGGACATACCCGAACCAAGTAGGAAATCCTCCGAAGAGCCGCCCGACTTGTGGAAGAAGCCGTAAAATACGCCAATGCCCAGCGATATGATCAGCATGGAGAGCAGTATCGTATAATCATAAGCGGAGAAGGCAGCTTTATGCGATGGATTGCTGCATTCCTCCATCTCTATAGGCGCATCGCTGCCGCCGCCGCCGCCGCCGAGAGTGGCGCTCAAATGCTCACTATACATTCTCTTCAAAATTTCCGCAGCCATATCGAAGCTGCGTCTCTCAGCCGAATCGATGGCATCCAGCAAAGGAGGCGCGGCGGCATCCATGGCAGCAAATGTCGAATCGCCGCGTACCAGCAAATAGGGTGGCGTTTGTTTCAGCAGCTTGTTTGTTGTTGGCGGTGAGCTTGTTGCAGCTGCTTGCTGATACGTTTTGGCATTAAGATCTGCTGGTACTGCCAGCGCATTGGAGGTGTGCGCCAAAGCGCAAAGGAATAACAATTTCAGCTGGGTAGCCATTGGTGGAGACATTTTAGTTGAGGTTGTAGAAATACTTTCTGTAGAAATACTTTCGGTTCTGCTTTTTAGGAACTTTTTTGTGCGCTGAGCTAAGGTAAGTGATAATTGATTCTCGTAATGTTGTCGATCGCTTAATTGGAAACTCTTTCGTTCGTTTTCAATGCAATGAATTTCACTAATTGGCGGGGGCGAGTTATTTACATCTCCGTTGCAATGAGTCGATGAGTTTACAAATTAGTTAACAACCTGCAATTAAAAAATTAATGAACAAGATCAACAGAGTGCCATTCGAATGAGAATGCTGACGAATGCGTACGTAGGAGTGCACGATTGATACAATGCACTGAAATTTTTCAATTAAAATTGGTCGGAAAATTCTTTAAATAGCATCGTCAAGTTCAATGTCGAAATTTCCCATATTGACAATGTGAAAAGTGTGTCTTTCAATTAACGACGACCATTTAAATTTCTCATTTTCGTTGTCGGTGTTTCCGGCAGGGTAAGAATATATTCTACATCATTTTTATTTCATTTGCATTAATCACGAATTTCTATGAAAAATCGTCAATGTAGCTACCTTATAGTAAACGGATACCTTAAATTAAAAAAAAAATTTATATACATACTATGTATTTATAAAACCTTGAATTTTTTTTACATACCAAAATCAGTATGAAATTTATATTCTTTTGGGTTTCGAGTTTTTCTGGATTGCGAATATTCGTATTCGCATTCGCAACCGCGGAGCTTCCGCATTAATTTTAATATTCGCATTCGCAAAAATCAATGCGGAAAAAGTAATAATGCTTGCCCTGTAATAAAATAAAAAAATATGACTGAAAGCCCACTAAACAGCGTCAATCGAAAAGAATTTAAAATATTGTAAAATTTCACGCACAGATATTTGTCGCCTCGAGCGTGCAGTTATTTAGTGGCGCAGGCCCATTAAAAATAGACTGCTAACCGGAAAAAGAAGCGGAATCATTTTTTATGAAATAAGTTCCAATTTTTTTAATTCCAGTACTAAATAAAATAAACATCATTAAAAATTAAACATTTTTGCATTTTTTTATATACCAAAATCACTTAATTTGTACGAAACTCGAGAGATTACTCACCAAAACCCTAATGGAGCTTCAAAACAACAACAAAAAAATTGTTACATTTTTCAATAAAATAAATACAGTACCAGTTTGACAGAGTTTGGCCGGAGTGCATATATGTATGTACTCTTTAAAGTTTTCAAGATTTGGGTAGCTGTAAAAAAATATTTTGGAAATAAACAAAAAAAATATCATTTCGATAATTGCTTACTTTAAAATTTAGGTGGCAAACCTATTCCGAAATATGCTGGAATCAATAGTACATATCTTGAGCGTATATAATGCATAAAAGAAATGTTGATTGAAATTAACAAAATAAAAATTTGTATTACATAGACCAAAGCTCTCAACAATACCTTTCATTTGATATCCATATTGCGATGTTTTAGATAAATGGTATACAATCGAAAATAAGTGGCAACCTTACACTATTATCCTAAGAGATAACATTTTGTATATAGGGAAAGCATTGTTTAAGAACCTTCTCTTGGTACCCATTAATAGTAATATTTTACCCTTTTTTCGAAACAAAAAATTTTTTAAATATGCGATTCAAAATAGGTGGTAACTCTATTAAAAATATATTATTGAGCTTTGTACCACGATTGTTTATTAGGAAAAATTAAAAAAGCAACAAAGTCTAAGCGGTAAAAGTTATAGCAGCTATTTCGGAGATCACCACATCTCCTTTTTTTGGAAACGTTTTGGAAACGTTGCATTTTTAGTTTTTCTTGCCTCCTACATGAAAAATGAATTTTCGTAAAAAGTGGACTTGGCTGTTTTTGACTCTAAGCTGGCGCTATCGGATATAGTGAATACTAAAATTAATAATAAAACTGATTACCTAATTACCATGATATGGTGCGCATCTAAGCGCATCATCAAGCATGAAGATTTCCATTACATCTTCGATAGGCGTTTTACGAACGATGACATATTTATTTATTGTACATGCATTGCCTGCCCACAAGCGATTGCTAGCAAGTCTGAACGAGCATGTACGAGTATATGTATGTGGCCGTTAAACCAGTAGAATTCATTTCACAAATTGTAATTGCAAGCACCTCAGTCCATTTCCAGTTGTAACATGTCCCCCTCTGCCTCTGGCGCATAAATATTTAACTGCTCATGTTAAGATTTAAGCGAATTTATCTAGTTAACATCCGGATACTGGCAGACACACCGGCGCTAGCCGGTTAAAACAAGAAATTTTAAAACTACAACAATTGCCATCGGACACAGACTCACTCACACACATAAAAAGAGAAATCCTCCTCCGACATCCCACCAAAGACGCCAAGTAAATAGCATCCACAAGTGATACCCCATCTCCCTCTCCCTCTCCCTCTCTATCCCCTTCAAGGCAGTGGTGACAAAACAAGCTGGGCTATGCTCGATCAAACCTCGATCGATTCAATTAGACAAAAGCAAACGAAGGGCGCCAGCCGTATTGGGAACGTGCAAGTGTAATTGTATTGGTGTGCGTCTTGATAGAGTGAGAGAAGCACTTTATGGGCAGCGAAATAAAGATTTAATTGCTGTGGGTGTTTTTATCACTAAAGATGCTTGATTAGCGTAATGTTGTTGTAATTGTAATTTAAGCGTTAAGTTTCCAGAGACGCCTGCGCATCTGCTACATACTTATTAATTTTGTGGCGTTAACAGCGATATGCGCAAATGAATTGCTTACAGCAGGGCTGGCGCACCAAAGGCACGCGTGCCCATTGGTGGCACGCAACAAAAAAAAATTGGGCGCGGTATTAATTGTGGACCCGATTCCTCAATTACTAGTGTTAGTTACTACCTAATGGAAATAGTTTCTTTTCTGGTTTAAATTGGAGAACAAACAAGATCTATTCATACCCAACAATACAGCCCAGAAATGCCAAAAATATAGACACTAATCAATAAAACGCACACAAAAGACATTCAATTCTTGAGTTCCAGTCAGAAAAATAGTAAACCCCAAAGCTTCGCTGGCATTAAATAAATGAAGGTTTGAAGGTTTACGGATATGCGCCAGCAATTATTGAATTTGAACGTAAAGTTTGCAAGCGCTAATGAAACTGTTATATCCGATATATATTCGATTTGGACTAACATAAAAAACTAGACAGCGCAAAAGGCGCCGAAAAGTTTTCTTTGGTATCTAATAAATTCTGTCATCGAATAATTTTCATCGAGGTTTTATGAATTCAAGGAGTTATCGGAAACACTCAAATTTATTATGTATCCTGATTTGACTTCACTTGACAAACTCAACCTGTCTAAATGTGATTGGTTGGAAATGGAAGATTTTTAAATGCAGCTGATTGAGTTACAGTTTAATTCAATATAGACTAAAAACTCTATCGAAAGAAGGAAAGAGTTGGAATCAATAGAATTGGAAAGACCACCGCCAATTTGACCAAAAATGCTAATATTACAATTTTAGAAACTTTGCATTCAATTCCAGACATATTAGCTGTCTGCAGAAGCTGGCGTTTGCTGTTTTGACAGTACTTTCATGTAAGGTACACAGTGGTATTTAAGAGCTGCATAATTAGTTCCTTTAAAATTTTTTGTTCGATTTGTTTGTCTATTAATGTCTCCAAGTACCGTGATATAAGTGATGCTGTCTTGTTGGCTCATCATGGTTACACTGCATATTTCTTTGGAAATGATGGAACGTATATGCATAAAGGTTCGCCGGCCCTGGCTTACACATTTCTTATTTATTAATTTGCATCTAAAACAATTGGTATTCGCTGCTCGTAAGGGCAATTAAGAAGGCATAAACGGAATACAGAAAAAAATGAAACGGAATTGTTTGACAAAATTAATTGTCTACATTTAAGTAAATTTTTTTTTTTACTTTTACCGAACTGAAAGTATGTCTGAATTTTAAGCATTTGTTTATTTTGAGATTGCGTAGAGTACGTTCATAGTGGTTTACGACTGTCTATTTAAGTTATAATTTTTCTGTAGGACGTCAGGTTAGAGTTAGAGTGCTCAATAAACTATTATTCCTATTATTATTATTCCTTTCGACAGCCTAAGTATGTACTTAAATAAATAAACCTACATATGAGCACTTTATTTTGAAGTGGCCTAAGTCCCTTTGTTTTTAAATCGATATATGTAAGGGTTTGCGTTTTAGCACGTTTAAAAATATTGATGCTAACTTTCGATAAGATTTACTTGTATTTGATATCTTAGGATATCTATATTTTTCTCAGTGTAAATAATTTCGTATAGTCATGGAAAAATCACCATTTTTCATTACGGTAAAGTGACTTATGCCACTTTCAAAATAAATAAATAAATAGTCCAATGTATTTTACTGAAGTGATGCTTTGAAAGGACAGTGATTTACTAAAATTGATGAATAAATTAAACAAATATATTTATTAATTTCTTCACTTAAGTGATGCAAAAATTTTGGGTCATGACATATTTTAACATTTTTCGGACCGCTGATTACGAATCTAAAGTCCGATTTTCAAATTTCAAAATGGCGGACGTATTTTTAAAACTTTCTTGTATTCGCTTGAGACTTGTTAGTAGAGGGGCTTTGGGGTCGCTGACTACGAATCTGAAGTCCGATTTGCAAAATTCAAAATGGCGGTTGCAATATGGCGGCCAAAAAAAATTAAAATCATTTAGATTCGCTTAAAAATTTACAGTCGGGAGTTCTTAAGGTCGCTGATTACGAATCTGGAATCAGATTATAAAATTCAAAATTTCGGATCCATCTTCGATCTATCATTTATCACGGGAAGTTAATATCGAACGTACGTACTCGACGTATGACTCACATACTCAAGTCGACTGAGTAACTTATACGCTATGTATTCAAGTAGAAGAAGAGAACGAAATTCGAGGACATGGTCGTGTGTTTATTAAACCATAACCTATAGTTTTTTTTTTTTTTTAAGAAATACTGCAAATTTTCAAGGATACGCAAGGACAAAATTTTGAAAGGACATTTTCAATGCCTATACGTTCTTATGCACCAAAGAATTTAATATTTTTCAATTCTACAGAATTTAGTCTTTTATTTGGTACCCATATGGTTATTCTAGCACTGAATTTTTTTTAATAGTTTTTGGAACTAATCAAATCTTTGAGATTTCAAAGTCCTTTTAAA